ACTTTGATACACACACAGATGACTATCAAGTGTTAGGCAGCCTCTCTGGTTGACAGGTGTCTTGAAGAAACCTAGACCTGGTCTTCTGTCCAAAGAGTCTTCCCCAGCTTGTGCCATTGGTTAGCCAAGGAGTTGTAACATTCTTTCACATAAAGGGTGCCCTATAGATGCTCCTGCCCTGCTGCCTAGAGCTCTCCCTGACTGGGAAGGCTGTGGGTAAAAAAAGCAGCTGCTGACAATTACGATGTCGTATGTTTTCATTGGCGGATCACCGAAAGGCAGGGGAAACAAATTCAGTGATAGAATATTAGGTGTTCAGCTTGCCCTAGTATACTAGCCGAAGTGCTCCTCCAACTCACAATGCCCTTGGTTCAGCTTGTAAGTCTGGGGATGATGTGAGGAGTGGTGTATCTGCACTTGGAGTACGTTTATAAAAGGCCCTCCAAAGGAGTCTTGTGCTTATGATATAGTTCAGCAGCTGATGGTGGTGGTCTTCACACAAAGCTGTACACGAGGTAGAACTGCATGGAGCTACACATACAGAGATGAATTCCCGTATAACTTGTGAAGAGTGAATAAGCTCTACGGTTTGCAGCAATGACGATTTTCTGTTTTTTATTTTTTTAATTGTACTATAGCTATGGAAGATGATAACACTAAGGGAGCTTGGGTAAAGGGCGCATGGAAATCTTGTCATATATTTCTTTGTAAATTCCTGTGAATCAATAATTATTTCACAATAACATTTTTAAAGGAGAGGAGTGGGGTCTCAGAGCACTGGAGTACTGGGTCTAAAACAATGCTTTGAGAGTGGCCTTGAAACTCAATATTATGCTAAAACTACACCTCAATGTCCAGGCCTAGAGATGTTCCTGAAAAGAAGGATAAAGTGGACTCACTTGGCCGGAATATTCCAAATGGATGCAGAGGCTCTGAGGCCCTCCCCCTCCCCGAAACTCTCTGTCAGCATCCAAGTGAATCCAGCCCCTATTCCAGGGATCAGCTGGTTAAGACAGACAGATGAGCAGGTCAGCTGGAGATAGGCCTAAAAGCTCAGGAAACTCTGGAAGTCTTCTGTAATTTGATAACGATCATTCTCAACCTCCTTGTCTTTACTCAGCATCCCTGACTGCAGCTTCATTCAGTCGTTCAGCAATCCTTCCTGAGGACCTCCTGGCTGTCTGGCACTCTTCACTCTTCCAAGCACTTGGGATATATCTGGGAATAAAACTGCCCTCGTGGAGCTTAATATTCTGGCAGAGGGGAGGAGGCAGGAAGACTAACAGGAATAGGTGAATTATAGAGCATACTAGCAGGTGATAAAAAAAAAAAAAAAGCCAGGTAAGGGAACCAGGAATTTAGGAGTTGGTGTGGCATGTGAAAGAAGGAATGTCAAGCTGGCCACTCCTGAGTTGTCAATGGATGTGATTGGGTTGGAAATCAGTCCTCTATTTGAATGTTCTTTTCCCACGACCAAAGCCTCTACCCCACCATTCCTTTCTCCTTTCTGATCACTGTCTCTTCTTCCCTTTTATTTTAACCTTCCTCTATTGTGCTTTCTTCCATTGATTTCCTTCTGGGAAGTAATTCTCCTAAGTGAGGTATCTCAGGAACAGAAAAACAAATACCACACTTACTCACTTACAAGTGGAAGCTGAATGATGGGTGTACATGGCCATATGGATTGGTATAATGAACACTGGAGACCCAGAAGGGGAGAGGCCGAGAGGAGAGTGAGAGATCAAAAAATTATCTAGCAGGTAAAATATAGACTATTCAGGTGATGAAGACACTAAAAGCCCTAACTCCACAACTATGTAATTCATCTGTGTATCAAAAACCACTTGGACCCCCTAAACCTATTGAAATAAAATAATAATAAAAATGATTGCACAAAATAAGCTGGAAATAATTGGATAATAATTATAAGGTTTAACTGAAATATTTATAACATTGTTTATTGCAGGGATAAATAGAAAAAAGAAATAATGCACAAATAGAAGTGGAGCTATAAAGAATACATAAATGTGATGACTGGTAAGGGTAATGGAAAACGGGGAATATAGCATTTTATTTACTTATCTGTTTGTTTGCGTGAGACAGAGTCTTGCTATGTTGCCCAGGCTGGACTCAAACTCCTGGGCTCAAGCAATCCTCCCACCTTGGCCTTCACAGTAGCTGGGACTGCAGGTACACAACCCCTGGCTCATTTTTTATTAAATTTAATCATTTTATTCAGAAAGGACACATCTGAGTAGTGTAAAAGGCAATTTTACATTTATTTAAAAATATGCGCAAATATCTCCAAATGTACATGATTTGGTATTTTTCACTTACTGAAACTCATATACAATACTGAAATCTTATCTTATAGGTTAAAAATATAAAAGGTAGCTTTAATTTAAAGTAAAATTTCCATTGACAATACAGAATTGAAAGTGTGCTTATTATTCACAAAATGCATAAACTAGACCAGTGATTCTCAACCTTCCTAATGCCTCCTAATGCCGTGACCCTTTAAAACAGTTCCTCATGTTGTGGTGACCCCCAACCATAAAATTATTTTTGTTGCTACTTCATAACTGTAATTTTGCTACTGTTATGAATCGAAATGTAAATATCTGATATGCAAGATGTATTTTCATTGTTACAAAGGGTCGCGACCCAGAGGTTGAGAACCACTGGACTAGACAGTAGTCTAGAGTATGCTGAAGAAACAAGTTAAACTGGTCTCATATAGTCACACATGGACCAAAAATTTATAAAACTCTAGCCTTGTTGTAAAATGTAACTATGGTATTTCCTCCAAAAAAATGAGCAACACAGATTGCCTTTATTGAACAGAGGTATCCATCCATTTTCTGCAAGACTATTACATTTACTCTTCAGAGATAGGATTTTTTGCCATTATAAGTAGCTATTAGTGTAGAAATGAGATAGCACTACAGTCCTGGTTATGCTGTGATCAGATCTATAACCACAATTTGGAATCAAACCATTTTATAGGGTCACTGATCTTATTCCTTCAGAAGTAGACACATTATTTCTCCTTGTATTTAGTAAGAAAAACAGACAAGACATTCTACCTTTTGGCAGGGCCTACTACAGAACTTGAATATGCATGCATTTGGGTATATATGTGGGTCCTGGAACCAATCCCTCATGTATACCAACATAGTTCTCAATCAAGCAAGACAGACATTGTCTCAATTAGAAACCTGGATATTTATTTTTCTCTAAAATGAAGTACAGCCTCATTCACTCCAGCGTGAAATACAGTCCTTAAGACCAAAGCCTGTATGTTATATATAATACCTAAAAAACTGTTGGCATTTGGAAAAGATTAAGTAAAAATAAAAGATCTAAAATAAAAATTTCTGGCTTATTCCAAATCAATATTTTATATTATATTCATTTAGAATGCTTTGTCTTTAAAGAACTCATTTTAAATGTAGAATACTAGAAGCAGTTTACTTTTTAGTTTTTTTCAATAAACGGTCAGAGCTCAAAGATTATATACTGCTAAAATTTATTTTTCCCAGTACTAAAATAAGTGCAAACATGTTGCTGACATTTTACAGAAAAAAATAGAAACTTATTTTAATCACCATGGTCCTATAAACATATCAAATTTTCTTTTGCTCAAAAGAGGTTTTGTGTCAGATTCTAAATAGACCATACCTATATGTACTTTCATGCAATGATCATTTTTTTACTTTTTATTAAATCACAACTGTATACATTTATGGGGTACAATGTGATGATTTGATATACAGTGTGGACTGCTTAAATCAAACTAATTAACGTAACTATCACCTCACTTATTTTTGTGAAATGACACAATACATTAGTTGTTTTGAAGCAATAATCATTTTTATAGACTAAGATAAATTTAAACTATATTTTTAAACTAGAAATAATCTGTCATATGTTTTCTTTGATCTCAATTATGATCCATAAGTATCATATCAAAACATAATTTTGAGAGAGAATCTTATTAATTCATCTCTCTGCATAAATGTTTCTGAAATCTATCAGTCCAGTTCTACAGCTCTTAAGTAAACTATTTCCAGGATCAAAGAGATCCTGAATTCTAGTCATGTATCTGGTTATGTATAATAAAACTTCATTATAAAGTACTAATCAAACTTGTATTTTTTTTTTTTTTTGAGACAGAGTCTCATTTTCTCAGTTGTCACCCTGGATAGAGTGCCATGCCTTCATAGCTCACAGCAACCTCAAACCCTCAAATACTTGGGCTCAAGAGATCCTCTTGCCTCAGTTTTTCTATTTTTAGTAGAGACGGGGTCTCACTCATGCTCAGGCTAGTCTTGAACTCCTGAGCCCGAGCAATCTACCCACCTCAGCCTTCCAATGTGCAAGTATTACAGGCATGAGCCACTGTGCCCAGCCAATCAAACTTATATTTTAAAAACCTTGAATTATTTGCCAAAAGTGATTTTTGAAGGCTTTGGATGTTGACTGCATTGATAATTAAATTTCTGAATTTACTGAATGTGACCTTACACAAGAGTAATGATCAGTGCAGCTCGTGGCTATCACGGTCTGTCAAAAACTGATTTTGCTTTATTGTTGGCCATTCCTGACTCACCTGACCACAGAGCCTCAGTCCAGCTGTAAGAGAAACCCCAGTCCTCAGGTGAACATTGTTAGCAATCTGTCATGCGGGATCAGTGGCATGTCATAACATCGGCAGATCCTGGACATTACTGAATGGCCCAAATAATTCTCCTCACCATGGTGCACATTTTAGAGGGAAACTGTTTATTTAATAAATAAAGCTTAGAAATGATTTTAGTGCTTCTCATTCAATGCCCAAGAGGTTAAAAGAAATCAAATATTTATAAATTCTTATAGAAAAAGAACGAGTGTTTCAAGTTTGAAGAAATAATCAATGCAGAAAATGTTTGCATAGAATGACAGGGGCCGGTCAGTTTGGTCTTGCAGTCCTTACTCATAGAAACCTCCGACGCCTGCGTTCAGGAAGCAAGTCTACGCATGGCCTGTGAAAGCAAGGGGGAGACAAAGTGTTGATGCAGCGGAATTCACCTTAAGTCTATATTATTCTTTTTACAAGTATGTTCTTATAGTATTTGTTGCTTGCTTTTACTCATCTTAGGTACATATCATCATAATAGAACTAGGATAAAAACTTAGTTTTGTACCTCATCATACATTGGATTTATTTAAAAGCAATGATTATAATTTATTGTGCACTTACTATGTACGAGACACTGTTCTCATTAATTTACTTGCATCCTTTAATTTTCACAACTGTGTGGCATTATTCTTTCTATTTTACATGAAGGTATGAAAATGAAAACAAGGTAAATGATTTGCCTTGGGCTGCACAGCCAGTAAGAGCAGAATCAGTACCAGCACCCAGGTCTGCCTGGTCCTAAAGTACTTGCCCTTGAAACCACTGTGCTATGCTGCTTACCATCTATAGAAACCCTGTCTGAACGATTCTTTTATGTGGCAGTTAACAAATATCCTATAAGGCAGCAGCTTAAGTTCAAATTTTGACATATAAGTTTTCACTCAAATTAAACCTTCCCTATATTCATAGAATCATAAGCTACTAAAGCTGAAAGGACTTCTCAGCTCAGTGAGGACTTTCCTGGGCTCGCTGGTAGGCTAAGATGCAGGGCCTGTGATTTTCACTCTATTTTTTTCTTTTCTTTTTTATTGCTGTCCATTCTAGAATATTCTATGTGATTTTTCACTCTAGCGATGTTATTTCTCTACAACAAAATCTCTGCCTGTCACCCCTACTGCGTGATTTTACCATAGGGGGATTGAATGTTTTTCTCTTCACTATTTTTATCAGGACCTAGAAAAAGGCAGAGAAATCGTGCTTATCTGATTGGCACATGATACCAGTGTGAGTGGGGGATGAGTCCCTATGTTGGATGGTAGATTCAAAATACACAGCCATGTCAATCAACTGGAAATGAACAAGACACAATCTGAAGAAATACGTGTAGTCCTGCATTGGGGTCAAAAACCAATTAAATAACTATAAAGGGGAAGCCCTGCTCCATACAAGCTATAGTTTGTATGAAAATGCCACGGTCTTTAGTTGACCCCTGCTTAATGGAAGCCAAGATTTTGAGATAGCTGTTATGAAAGCAAACACGTTTTTAATTTGACAAGATCAAGGAAGGTCTTGCTTGCATAATCTCCTCACTGGCCTGAGCGCATTGGAGATTTTGTGTCTTCACCTTGGCCAAAGAAGCATAAACAAGCTATTGCATCTATGAGGAACGCTAACCAGTATCAGAGGAGTCTCGCCTGGAAGGGTCTGGTGGAAACGTGAGATCTATTCTGAAGTATTTGAAGGGCTGTTCAGGGGAAAGGTTTGTGTTGACAAGGAGGGCAAACTGAGCTCAGTTTCTTTAGGAGGTTATTACAAAAAGGCCAAATTCAATTCTGTAAGCACAACTAACATTTAGAGACCAGGTAACAAACTCCCTTGAGAGGTCACTAGAATGTCTAGAAATGTTCACAGGAAAACTATGTCACCATCCATTAGGGATGGCGTAGGAGGGACTCTGCATGGACCAGGATGTTGGATTACTTCATTTCTAGGAAATCTTTCAATTTTGAACCAAGTATACACCTTTTCTCTGTCTATGGTCTTGGAACTATGAGAACTATGTGGAAGCTTAGGTATAAAATCAGGACCAATGTATTAGACTGCCAGTGCTTGGGGCAGTGGGTCCCCAAGCACTTAATGTCTTCAAGGGAGAATTCTCATTTTCCATTTTACCCTTCTATGAAGCTACCACCCTTTGGTATTTTTCCTGAATTATTTTCCCTGACATTTCTTAATCAGATATATTCACTATATGCATTATCCTATTTCTTCAAGATTTCATCCAAATTATTTTCTTCAGAAGGAAATACTCATACCTCGTCTTGGACATCAAGTTCTTCTTCCATCAGCTCTGCTCCCATTAGTTCAAGGGGATCTTTACAGTCTTGAATGAGGGTGATCTTAAGAAAGAGAACACGGACTAGAAATATAATGGCATAACCTCCCCAGTACTCCACTGACAACGATTTGAAGCCTTGCTGGTGTTTCTCATCATGTTTTCCCTACTTCAGAGTCCTCTTTGGTTTTCTCATTCTTTTTTATATTTCCCAGCTTAGCATTTTCACTATATCATTTGTTCACATTCAAATGTGAACTGGTATAATTCTCCATTGTCTGTACTCCTCTTCAGCTTTCCAACCTCTTCAGTATATTCCTCTGAAAAAGTCACCCTTCTGCCTAAATGATCCAGGATTCAATGGTGCTTCTCTTTCAATGGCTTAAGTGAAGAGCACTCAGTCCAGCACTGAGCACGCAGGGACTGCACAGTGAAGGGAGTGTGAGTGACAGCAATAAACGGACCCACAGTGTAGGATGGAAGTTTTATTGGAGATGGAAACCAAAGGGACCCAGTTGTAGGGCCAGTATGTAATTTAGTCTTCCACACAGGGCAAGCCAACTACAGTTTGGGCTTTGTCTTCTGCTTAATGAAGCACATATCCATAGCAAGTTCAAATGTACATCTAGGCTAGAATGATGTTTAGAAGTTTTACTTAGCTGTTTTTTTTTTCATAGAGCCTCAAGCTGTCCCCCTGGGTAGAGTGCCATGGCATCACAGCTCACAGCAACCTCCAACTCCTAGGCTCAAGCGAGTCTCCTGCCTCAGCCTCCCAAGTAGCTGGGACTACAGGCGCCCGCCACAACACTTGGCCATTTTTTGGTTGCAGCCATCATTGTTGTTTGGCGGCCCGGGCTGGGGATTTGAACCTGCCACCTTAGGTGTACGTGGCTGGCGCCTTAGCCGCTTGAGCCACAGGCGCCAAGCCAACTTAGCTATTTTTCATCTCAACAATAACCCATTCTCTTAGCTAGTGTGGAAATGAATTGGAGGATATGTTCCTGGTCTTGACATAATGAGAAAGGAAGAGGCTGGGGGTAACTATAAGCTGGGGCTGTCCTGGGATAGTCCTGTGATGGTAATATAAAGCAATATGTGTTGCCCAGACTGGTCTCAAACTTCTGGCCTCAAGCAATCCTCCTGCCTTGGCTTCCCATAATGCTAGAATTACAGGCATGAGACATCACCCCTGATTTCAGTGCTATACAGGCAGTCCCTGAGGTACAAGCATCCAACTTATGTACAACTCAGACTTACAGATACAAGTAATAGGTGAATGTTACAGAATCTGTCTCATTCATAACCCAGAGACTGCCTATATTCTAAAAAGGTACTCTAGCTAATGCCCACTTTCAATTAGTATACTCATACATCATACAATTAGTATGTACTGGGTACTACCAGGTACTTTTCTATACCCTATCTTATTTAGTCTTCATGTCTACCAGTGAAGTGAACGCTTTTACTCCCCTACTCCTGATGAAAAAACTGAACCTCCAAGAAGTTATGCAGATAGCCTAAAATCCAACAGTTAGGATTCAAGCCTAGATTCATGTAATTTTTGCCATTTACAGGAATCATGATAGGTTAGGAAAGACATATATGTAGAAAGTTTAAATATTTACCGTTTCTAAGATGGAATCTTGGCCCTCTTGGGATTTCACCTGATTCTGTAGATAAAGTATCGCATCATGGACAGTCAAAAAGAACGTGTCCTTTCTAATGTTGTCATCAAAGAACCCACATCGCTCCAGTTTTTCTATTACATGATCTTCAAAAGAAAGAGAAAATATTTAGTCTCTAGGAAAAGATGTTTTTTTGTAGCATCAACCAATATTAAGGGTTTGTAACTCCTCTTTAGTTTTTGTCTCATTTCCAAAATGTGACCCTGCTCTAAACTGAGTTTCTTTCCCAGCAGCACACAGAATGGTTATCCCATGATGGCTGTCGTCAGCCTTCATGTCTGCCCATGTTCCTTATGCCAGGCTGGCATCCCCACCCTCCAGCTGCTGTGAGGCTGGCTGCCAATGGTTCACAGCTGTGCCCTCCCCTGGAGAATGTGCCTCTGGAGCTTTGCTTCTGAGGAACTCAGCCTGAGCACTGGCACCTCCCTTTGTGCATGGATGCATATACTGACGCGGGAGGCAGACCCTGGAGAACCCTTTTGCTTTAAGGGGCTCCAGGCATCTCCAGCTGTGCTCTCCTCTATATGCCCCCCTCGAGCTGGCACTGTTGTCAGGACATACGTTCGCACACATTGCCAGATCTGTGGCACAAATTGGAAATGATATCTTCCTCAGTTCAAAATGTTCTCAAAGTCACTGCTTAATGTGTACAGTTTCTGGTTTTAGTGATGAAAAACATTGGAAATAGATCGTGGGCAATGATCACACAACATTTTGCATACAAGCAATGCCACTGATTTAATAATACACTTAACAGTGACTAAAATGGAAAATTTAATAGCCAGGCATTGTGGTGGGCACCTGTAGTCCCAGCTATTCGGGAAGCTGAGGCAAGAGAATCACCTAAGCCCAAGACTGGAGGTTGCTGTGAGCTGTGATGTTATGGCACTCTACCAAGGGCGACAAAGTGAGACTCTGTCTCAAAAAATAAAATAAAATAAAATGGCAAATTTTACATTATCCTCTAACACAAAAGAATAGTTTGAAAATATAGGAGAAGATACTTGCTTTACTTTATGGAATGAAAAATTGCCCAATTCTAAAATTGCAAATAAAACCAATTGAGATCTTTAAATTTGTTGCATTTTGACATCTGGCCTCCATGAAGCAACCCGAGGGACACTGCTGCTGACCCTGAGGCCCTTTGAGGAACACAGGGAAAGGACACACTAATCCCTTGAATGGGCACTCTGTCTTCCCCATGGATCCCCAAGAATTGTGAGTGCCTCTCAGTTCTGAATTCTGCTGTTTTTTGCATTTGTGCTCCCTGATCTGTAGCCTTTGGGGCAAGAACAACTCAAAGAAACTCGTGATAATGAGGAAGACACCAAAACCTCTAAATGACACGTTGAGATTAGAAACCCAAAATGACACTAACGAGAGTAGTGCTAGTGCCCTAGGTGAGAGTGTGACCCAAATGGGGGATCATCATATAAAAACTACAGAAGGCTATTTTGGGAACTAAATTCTTGCTTTGGGCCCCAGCAGACCAGAGCAAAATATCAAAATAGTCACTTATGCTAAAGTTTTAAGCCAACAAACCTGAACTAAGTTGTTATCTGACCTTCTAAGAGAGAGAGAGAGAGAACAGCCAGTCTTCCAAACAGACCAGTTAAACTTTTAGTTGGCACAGTAATGAAGTTCATCCTGCTGCGATCCTTACATAAAAAAAGACAGCCTGACCTAACCTACTGGTAATCAGTGAATTTCCTATCGTTCTGTCTCTCTGCCCAGCCTTACAAGACAAGTAACTCTGAAAGGACTGATGACACATTCTTGTCCTGTGCTTCCGCTTTCTTCAGCGCTTCTCTGTCCATAAGACCAACCTCTTCTGCTCAGCTCATTGGAACACTCACTCTATTTTATGGAATGAAGCATTGCCCGATTCTAGAATCAAAAGTAAAGCCAACTGAGATCTTTAAAAGAAAAAAAAGGCCTTCACACATTATATGTCCACATTCCAAGGTAGGACAAAGGGCTTGGAGGAATGTCTTATGGGTAGACGCGTAGGTGTATGCATTTACCTTGAAGCGAGGCAAAGTACACATTCACATCAATTCTTTGGAACTCTTTGACAATCTAAAAATAAAAAAGGAGCATTGGTAACAGTGAATAACTCTAACTGCCCATAATTCAGTAGAATTCATCTACTTGCTCAGGAGAAACACTTTCATGGTTAGTCAGGACTCTGAGGAAGATTGATTATTGGAAAGCTATAGGTCGGCCTACAGTCATGGTATGATTAAGAATGAAAAGACAGTATCTCAAGATGGCCACATTCAGTGCTCAATCACCCAGCACTCTAAAGCACAGAGGTGCTGAAAAAAACATTTGTGGAAAAAAAGGGGAATCTAAGAGGCTTCCCTATATAGCCCCTGCTGATCTGAGAAAAGGGCATGAGTTTGTATCTTTGAGTGAAGAGATACGGGTGTGGATATAAACATCAGATTTCAGAACAAAAATCAAGGCCTCTGTTTTAAATGTATCAACATCAGTATCCTGATTGTGATTTTATACTATAGTTTACAAGATGTTAGTAATTGATTGGGAGAAACTGGGTAAAAGATACATAGGCTCTGTCTATTATTTTATTTATTTTATTTGAGACAGGGTCTCACTCTGTCACCTAGGCTGGAGTGCAGCAGTGTAGTCAGAGCTCACTGCAGCCTCAGCCTCAAATTGCCAGGTTCAAGATCCTCCTGCCTTAGCCTCCCAAGTAGCTGGGACTATAGGCACATGCCACTATGCCTGGCTAATTTTTTGTTGTAATTTTTTTGTGGAGACAAAGTCTCACTATATTGCCTAGGTTGCTATTGAAATCCTGGACTCAGGCAATCCTTCCACCTTGGCCATTGTGCCCAGCCTATTCTTTACAACTATGTGTGAATTTTCAATGATCTTAAAATTAAAATGTTAGTTTTAAAAAGTCAAGACACAAGACTTACAGACCATAAAAAAATAGGACTTGAAATCTGTAGAGGAAAACAAATCGAGACCTCCATTCCAGTATAAAGGTTAGAGTTTTCTTTAGTTTTCATAATTGTCATTATAATATTTGAAAGCAAGTATTTGTTAAGTATGGGAAATACTCTGACATTAAATATGTTAAGATTTTCCCAAAAGTAATTCATTAAATTCTTTGGCCAATATGATCCTCAATGGCTTTATGCCAACGCCTAGAGTAAAATGCAAAACAAAGAACAAGGCTGTATTTTCAAATGAGCTAATAACCAGGTCTGCTAAGAGAACTGGAACAGAACCTGTCAGCATATTCTCAAACTCTTGCCAAGTGTAATCATTTCTCCACCTTACATACCTAGTACCCACATCCTGGAATCATTTCCCACCCTTACAGAGGTAGCCAAGAAGCCCTCGGCTAAGTTAAACCTCAGGAGGCTCTTTCATATTATTATACCTGATTGCTGGTTCCCTGAACCTGCTTACTTTTCTGCCTGACTCTCTCACACCTACCTGAAGCTTCACCTAAATTTAGCACTTCAGATGATATGGTATTTAATCTGCTTTGGGGCACTTATTACAGTGGTTATTTAGGCCAGGCGCGGTGGCTCATCCCTGTAATCGTGGCATTCTGGGAGGCCGAGGCAGGTGGATTGCCTAAGCTCAGGAGTTTGAGACCAGCCTGAGAAAGAGTGAGGCCTGGTCTCTACTAAAAATGAGAAAACTAACTGGCATTGTGGCAGACGCCTATAGTCTCAGGCACTTGGGAAATTGAGGTAAGAGAACTGCTTGAGCCCACAAGTTTGAGGTTGCTGTGAGCTATGATGCCATGGCACTCTACCAAGGGTGACAAAGTAAGACTCTGTCTCAAAAATAAATAAATAAATAAATAAATGTATATACAGTGGTTATTTATCAGATTATTAAATGTTTGCTTCTCCCCTAGATTGCTTAGTCCCCTGAGGGTAGAAATTGTGGCAACTTCACCACTAGTTTCTTGTGCCCGCACAAGTGCTTAGCACACATGAGGTGTTTCATATCTATTGTTCAAAGAATTCCTGAGCTTGAGCCTGTATAACTAGTTTTTTTTTTTTTTTTTGAGACAGTCTTACTTTTTGAGACAGTCTTACTATGTCACCCTCGGTAGAGTGCCATGGCATCACAGCTCACAGAAACCTCAAACTCTTGGGCTTAAGCCATTCTCTTGCCTCAGCCTCCTGAGTAGCTGGGACTGCAGGTGCCTGTCACAATGTCCGGCATGTTTTTGTTGTAGTTGCCATTGTTGTCAGGCAGGCCCGGGCTGGTTTCAAACCCACCAGCCTCAGTTTATGTGGCTGGCGCTGTAACCACGGAGCTACGGGCGCCAAGCCTGCATAACTAGTTCTTGATCATGAATGTTTCTGTCGTGCATGCTTCTCAGCTCTGCTTTGATTTCCTAGATAGATGCCTGACTGCTTCCTACTCTAACTTCTTAATTTCCGGTTTTCCCAGTCCTACCATGTACATGGTGTTCCTTTTCCTGGTGGTATTCACATAACAAATAGAAATGTAATACCACAAACTTTTGCTCATTTTTTCTCCTTTTCATGTTCTGTCTTCCATTCTCAGAAAAATAAAACATAATACATGCTAATATTTGCTGAGGTGTGTCTGTGTGCCAGATACCTTTCTACACTCCTTATTAATCTAGAAGTAAGTAGCTATGAGGGAGGCACCGTCATCACCTACTGAAGAATTGAGGTCCAGGCAGATGAAGCAACTCCATGCTCACACTGCTAGTAAATAGTGGAGCCAGGATTTCCCCCCCAGGGGTCTGGCTCCAGAGTCTATGCTTTAAAATATTACACTCGATTGCAAAACATCCACCTAGAAAAATGACAGAGCCCATGTATTTGCGTTTCTGTGAGAGAGAAGAACCCATTTCATTTCACTGTTGCCAAAGCTCCAAATCCATAATCCTGAAAAGAATCTTACCACTCGCAGTGACCTCACTCCAACAACGTCCAGGAAAGATATAGCTCCACAATCAAGCACGAGGCTGTGGATTGGCACTTTGGGCACATTCACTTTGACTGGAAGCTCAGAGTTCCAATCCACTTGAATCTCTATTTCCTTGGTGGGGATATCAAGTTCTTCCGGATCTTCGATATCTTCATCAGGCTCAAAAGCGTTATTTGGTGTACCAGCATCACTTATGATGCCGTTCTAAACAAAGAAAACAGTACCGACTTCATTGCCAGTGATTTGAAATGCCTTCTCCACCGTTTAGCTCAACTTACTTTAAAGTCTTACGCACATTGTTCCTTCGTAAGCAAAACATCAAGGGGATGAACTCTTATGGAATGAGATTTATCTCAGCCCAAACTTTGATGTTCTCTAGGAAGAAAAGTGGAAGAACAGAAGAGCCAGGAGACTCTTGATTTCTGGAAAATAGTGGAACTTTGCCAAGAAATACATTTGCAGGGGAGTCTGATTAAAAGTTAGTACCTCTACAAGTTTGTGAATTCACTGCCTTCTGCTGGAATTTGCTGGCATGAATTTGGACTTAATTTTTCCCTTTCAATAAAAATAAGTTATAAAAAATAATATAGATGTCATTTATGTTGGGGGAGGAAATTACACCTTGTTTTACCAGGGAGCCCTGATGTGTTCATCTTATTCCCTCTTGCCTACATGAATGGCTCAGCTGTTCTCTGACACACGTGTGACATCTGCTTGTACACATCTGGATACCAAAGGGGATAGATTTAATATTAGACCATCTAACAGCTTTCACCAGAGAAAGGAAAGAATTTAAGGGGGAAATGAAAGATGTCTCACCTTTGTTGCCCTTAATTGTCCGTTTTTTATGAGTTTCTGTATTTTCCTCAGTGCTTTCAACCGCTTATTATATACTCTAATGGCGTCAAATCCAACCTTTGGAAATAAATGTCAAGTTACTTAAAATGCCCGATTCCTAACACTTATTGACAGCAATTGTCTGGCAATGTTACTTCTGAAAGGGTATTATTCCTTGAGACATCCCACAAAAAAGAAAAAAAATGAGGTCTGATGAAAGAGATCACCCTCCACTACCAGGCCACCCTCCACTCCACCCAGAGATTCAGGTAAGAGAGTGGCCTTCTAAAGACTCCAAGACAGTAAGAGACAAAAGAACAAAAATAACCCTAAGTCTGTGTTTTCCAAGTTTCCTTGACATCACTGTGCCTTTTCTTATTGCAAAATCTGTGAACATTCCTCTGAATCAGTCTGCCCTGAAAATCACTTAAGAAAACACTGACTCCAAGCATGAAGCACAGCATGGGATTCAAGACCAGAACTTCATGCTTACACGTTCTGCTAGTCTAACAACTTTCTACTCTCTGTTCCAACTGGGCAACCCTCCCCACAGTGTATGTCTCTGTCTTCTCCTCTCAACTCACATAGTTCTCAAATACCTGACATAATCTATTTCCATCTGCCAATTGCCACACAAAGTCTGATTAGTCCAACTAATATTATTTAATGAACAGTTATTTGATGAACCAGCATCACTTATGATGCCATTCTAAACAATGGAGTTCAAAAAGAGTGAATTTTTTTTTTTTTTGAGACAGAACCTCAAGCTGTCACCCTCAGTAGGTGACATCACAGCATGTCGCATCACAGCTCACAACAACCTCAAACTCTTAGGCTTAAACAATTCTCTTGCCTCAGCCTCCCAGGTAGTTGGGACTATAGGCCCCCACCACAAAGCCTGGCAATTTTTCGATTGCATTTGTCATTGTAGTTTAGCAGGCCTGGGCCAGGTTCGAACCCACCAGCCTCAGTGTGTGTGGCTGATGCCTTGCTCAGTAAGCTATGGCCACTGGGCCCAAAGAGTGAATTCTTAACACTTACTGTCCATACTATGTATTTGGAATTTACTCAAATTCTGCCTGGATGTTTTTGTATGACATAGTTATTGCTACCTGAATTTTATCATATGTGTTTTTTTCTTTTCTTTCTTTTTTTTTTTTTGAGACAGGGTCTCTTTCTGTTGAATAGCCTAGAGTACAATGGCATGATTATAGCTCATTGTAACCTCCAACTCCTGGCCTCAAGCGGTCCTCCCACCTCAGCCTCCCAAAGTGCTGGAATTACAGGCATAAGCCACTGGGCCCAGCTCATGTGTGCCTTTTCCATCTCCAAATAGACTGTAAATTATTTGAGGGCAAGGATGTTATGTTACAATTCTTAATCCCCTACACAAAGGGAACAGAGGATAGGACCTTACCCCCAGTTGGAGTCT